CTCAGGGGTGGAAGGAATGGCCCTTCCACTCAGTTGCAGAAGCAGCAGGGCTCTCTTCCCAAGGTCTCTGTGTCCCATAGGAAGGACTCCTGCCCACCTTCACTGGCAGTCTGCCTTTCAGGCTGTCCGTGGCTGAGCCGTGAGAAGAGGATCCGGGAGTCTTTCCCTTTCAAACCCTTCTTGGCTGAGCCTTCTCCCCGGGGCCCTTTCTCTCCCAATTGTGTTTCTGCCTTGGGCCCACAAGTTCTTTTTCCACCTCCGCAGAGGCTACCGAGGGTCCCCAGGTTTGGGACAGCGGTGATGGCGCCCAGCCCACCAAAATGGAGAAGGAAGAGAAGGCTGGGCTGGGGCCCCTGCAGTCAAGCATCCCCATCCGCACGCCAGGGCCTGACGCTCACACCACGGTGGTGGCCAAGATGCCAGCGGGGAGGACGAACCTGCCTGTTCCCTGCCAGACGTTCCCTGCCTGTCACCGTAATGGAGGTGAGGCCGTCAGGGTGCCCGGTCTGTGCTTTCCCTCCCCTCCTCTGGAGGAAAGTATGCCAGGCAGACACACAACCTTCTTTGCATGTGTGTGTATGTGTGTGTGTGTGTGTTGAGGGGAGCGTTTGCTTTGCAATGGGGAGGGCAGGGAGACAGCAAAAGATCCTTGTTTGTTCTTTGGCTGGTTTTGGCTGCAGAACTTGTACATGATGCAGCTGCAAAGAGAAGCAGGTGACCTTCAAATGAGGACAGACTGCAGCAAGCGGAGGGATTGAGAGAGAGAGAGAAAGAGAGAAAGAGAGAGAGAGATGAGCACGCACACAGATGTTTGCTTGCTTGTTCGTTCGTTCATCTGGGGTCTGTCCACCAGAGGCTACTCCTGGGGGGCCCATCCTCTTCTCTCCCCCTTCGCCATCTGAATGGAGAAGGAAAGGGGTGTGGTTGCCTTCCTTTCCCTGCCAAGGAGCCTCTTCTGCTAGCTCCATCCTTGTCCTACAGGACTAGCCGCTTGCCTCTTAATAGAGCAATGAGGGATGAGCGCTCAGGGCTTGTGGGGACACAGAGGAAGCAACTTGGGAGCAGGGAAAGTTCATTGGGCTGTGACTCCTCAACACTCTGCTTCCTGCCCCTCATTCTCTTCCTCCCTCCCTCCCCCAGATTTCACCAGTGGTTACCTACTGGGCCGCTCGGCGTCCACCTCTGGCGTACGACACGCCGTGATTCACGCGCAGAGGCCGTGCAGCCATCCCCGGGACCCAGCCAGTCTGGTATGTTGCAACGCAGATGCGAGGATTCTCTAAGATGGGCCAGAGCCTGACTAGTCTGGCCAGGAGAACTACAGAACAAGTTATGAATGGGGCTGCTTCTAACTCTGGGTCGGTGGTTGTGGGGATCCAACTGGCTGGAGGAGGAGAATGTGTAAATCAGTAGTCTACGAACTATAAATACGCCCTCTCTTCCCAAAGGGAAGGAAGGAGACAGTGAGAGGAAGCAATCTGGGGCACCAGTACTTCCATAGTGTCCTGGGCTACGTATAAAGCTGCATACTAAACTCTCAAGCTCGTAAAATTTCCTGGACTTGAGGTAAAGCAGTCAGTGTCCAGGGCTCTTTATCTGAGATCTCTTTCTTCCAGTTCCACACCAAGCTGTTGTGTGCCAGGGCTTTTCAGGTGCAAAGCACCTGGACACCTTGGTTCAACAGCCATTCCTCTTGGGTCTTCCCTGCACTCTCTGAAGCTAGTGGCAGCCCCTACAATTGTTTGTTTGTGGGAGAGGGAATGGCTTGGTCTTGAAGGGGAAACTACGATCCATTAGCCTCACAAAAGAACTGCCCCAGGTATTGGTTGTCTGCATTTTGGCACTCTTGGGGTGCTGGCTAAGGGGCAGTCACTTCAGAACTTAGCACTGCCTCCAGATTCCAAGGGAACTAAAGCAGCAGCTGCCTCATTTAAGGTCCAGCCTGCTCTGAGAGCCAGCCAGGCTTTCTAGGCTCAGGAAGAAGAGCCATCCCCATCGCTCCCCACCTGTTGTCTTTTAATATGGGAGGGGAGACTGCTGAGGGGCCAGCTGTCCCAACATGTCTGGAGATGCCAGAAGTGATGTCACATTTTGGTCCATTTATGGTGGAAATAAGATCTATGGGGAGGAAGGGGAGCAAAGCTACCATGTTTGTAGGCAGTTTGGGGTGGTCTTGGTGTGGTTTTTGAAAAACGTACTGAAAATGTTTTCAAATGCCGAGGTGCTGCGAATGCAAGGTTTGGGGCCCCATGTAGCCGGTAGCTGTAGTTTCCCAATCCCTGATTTAACAGGTGAGGAAGCCATGGATGCCTCCTAGGGCAGCTGCTGTAATTCCAGTCCCATCCCTCTGCCCAGTCTGGTCAGTCCTGCCTAGAATCCTAGAGATCATCCGCAAGGGCCTTGTCCAACCCCATTCTGCCATGCAGGAATACACAACCAATTCACCCCCAACAGATGGCCATCCAGCCTCTATCCTGAACAAGATTTAGGACTTTCCCCCAAAAAGGCTCCTTCCCAGGGATGTGGCCAAGGGAGAAATGATGACATTGCCCCCAATATTAATCCTGCCTCCGCAATGAATGCTTCAGTCTCCAGATTTCTGGCATCTCAGGGAGTGAGACATGGAAAACGGTTAGCACCTGTGTTCAAACTCCCTTGGTTACTTTGCCTGCCCCTTTTCCTTGACGGCCCAAACTGTGTTTCTCAATGCTCAACTGAGGTTTAAGTGCAATGCTAAAAATCTGGGGTCTGAGTAAAAATGGCATTTGGGGCCAATGCCTGCCTTTTGCTTGAGCTGTGGCTACACTTTTGCTCTTTTCTTTCCAGTCGCCTCCTGCAACTTGGTAAAAGCAAGGTCCCCTGGACCCAGTCAACCCGGAGGCACCAGGGGAAGCGGAGTGGGGAAGGGTGGGCATAGTGGGAGCATCTGTTGCCCCTCGTCTTCACCCCTTTTTCTTCCCCCCCCCCGCAGGCCTTGCAGCACGTGCAACTGCCGGCACCAGGGGTCCCGCCAAGCTCTCGCGAAAGGGACGGCAAGCTGCTAGAGGTGATTGAGCGCAAGCGGTGTGTTTGCAAGGAAATCAAAGCGCGACACCGGCCGGAGCGCAGCCTCTGCAAGCAGGAGAGCATGCCCATCCTGCCCAGCTGGCGGAGGAACACAGAGAACCGCAAGTCCGGCACGCCGCCCTGCCGCCGCCAGCAGACAGTGCTCTGGGACACGGCCATATGACAGCAGGTGGGGGGCTGAGCCCCGAGGAGGAACCGGTGCCTTGTGCTGGCCACGCCAAAGCCCACGCGTGGCACAGGGCTAAACTGCTGGCAGCATGCCGCCCCTGCCCTCTCCCATCAAACCCAACAGAGACTGAGCCGTGGGCCGTTTGGGGCATCACCCCCGCCTTCCACTAAGCTGTGGCTGGAAAGAGACTTTTGGTGAAGGGGGCAATGCTCTTAATTTTTCTCTTCTGGACAATATCCTGGATTATCAAAAAAGAAAGGGAGGTGCCAGGCCACAAAAGCAGGTGCTTCGCCCTGAGGAACCCTGACAGGGATGCCCACAGCCCCAGGAGATGGCTGGGGATCAGAGGCAAGCGACGGTTGGTTGCACATTAGAAAGACACGCCAGCCCAAGCTCTCGCTAGTCCTATGCCAACAAGACTGACTTCTACAATGCCCTCTTCTCTCACTTTTCTAGCAGGCTGCCAGGGTGTGTGGGGCAGGGCCGGGTGCAGCTGCCTTGGTGTGTTTGTGCACACGCATGTGTGCGTGGTTGTCAGGGCTGAACAATGCCACCATCCTCAAACTCCTTCATTACTGGGCTTAAAAGTGCCAGGAGCACTACCAATCTCTCGTGCTGTTTTCCTTGTGTCACCAAAAAACCCCAAAAAACACAAACCCACCACAGAGAAAGGACAGAAAGGGAAAGCGAAATAAGGGGGCTAAGCAGACATATTTAACAGGGGGGTCCCCCTGCTCCCACCCCAAAGAGGTGCCTGACCCTTTCTTTTGCTTCTTAAAACTGTTTGGGGAGGCTGAGTTCCCATGGAGATATGGTCGGCTGGTTTTTCCCAGAGCAGCCTTATCCAACCTGGAGGCAACTACAACTCCCATCATCCCACAGCCAGCTATAGTCCCAACACAGATTGGGGAAGGAAGGAGGGAAGAAAAGCGATGGACCCGATAGCAAAAGCATTTTCATTGGGGTCTTTTGGAGAGGAAGTAAGTGGCACCAAGCAGGGAGACCTGAAGTTCGGTTATCTGAGAAGGCTGAGCCATAGAGCCGAATCCCATCATTATCAGGGACTTTTTGGATGGCAAAACTCACAGTGAGAGTTTCTAGGAGCCTGTCATCCAAACAAAGCAACTTTTCCCAGATCATGACACATATCAGGGCTCTCCCTTGTTGTCAGTTCCTAGCTACTGAAAATGGTACATACCATTTACCAACAAAATGAAATAAAAGTGACAAAATGTGAAGCCACAATAAAATGGAACTCTAGAGTAATTATGTTTAAAAATCCACAATTTTCTAACCTGTCATATTTAAAAAGGAAACAAACTTTAGAAAATGAACTTCAGACACCTCTCCCCATTAAAGACCAGTACCAAATCTGCTTCATTCCTGTTTCCCATGCTGTAAAAAATAGGCTTGCTTTACAAGATATAAAGAGTGACCTGCTAGGCTCTCTTTTTTTTTGACTTCCTGCCCTAGTATCTGAATTTTGGTTCACTTCTGTTAATCAGAACAGTTAACTTTTGCTCAGCTTTTTTTTTAATTTCCAACTGATTCCACTTAAGGAATTCCTTAAAGCTAACTTTTTTATATTCCCCTGCCATGGACAACAACACAGAAAGTTTGGGAGAAACGTTTTGGAGACTAGGAACAGACTGCTTTTGGGACCTGGTGTACTTTATATGACTAGCAACTGCTGAGATGGCCCAATGATCTAAACATTTGCTGTTAGACACAGAGATTGGGAGTTCAAATCCCCCCTGGTTCAGGGAGCAATGTGGTAGAGTGGTTTGAATGTTGGACCAGGACTCTGAGAGACCAGGTTTCAAATCCCTGCTTGGCTATGGAAACCTACCGGGTAACTTTGGGCTGGGGATGGTGGAAGTTGTAGTCTGATAGACCTAGAGAAGGCAGCCAAGGTAGGAAAGGATGCAAAGACAGTGGAGGCAAAGTCTCCATTCTCACTGCTGCAAGCCTCCTTGGTGTGGTGGAGGGCTCTGGCCCCGCTCTGGTTGGGTTCTGAGCATTCAGAAAGTTATAGTCTGAAACAAGTTAAAAACAGGGTAATAAAGAACATGACATCAAACCAGTGCCCAACATCAGCACCACGCTAAGAGTGACATGTATTTGACATTTCACGCAGTCCAAACAACTCAAGTCCTCCATCCCTTCAACATCCCTCTCCAAGTACAATTCTCCACTACACAGGCATCCATACCCCAGGCCTGGCCTCAAACATCTTTAACCCATTCCCCTCCTCATTCCAGGGCTTTATATGTTTGTGTCTGTGTCTCTCTCTCTCTCTATCTTTAAAAAAAAAAACTTCTCTGTTTTTCAACAGCTAATGTTTTGATGGCAAAAATCAGCTAGGAGAGGTCTGTGAGTATTGCCAACATTATGAACCTGCACAAGCTGGTCACGGTATTTAAAATCTTGGTCTTTAGGGAACCTCAGTGGTCTTTCAAAGTTGCTCTTACCTAGCCCAACACCTTCCAACCCATTTATTTTGGCTTCCAACAGTGGGATCCATTCATCACCACAATTTCCTGCTAGCGTCCACAAGACATGGCTGGACCGTTTGGGGCGCTGGCATGAATTAGATTTACAAATCAGAGTTACAAAAAAAAAGGGGGGGGAGGGGAGGACAGAATAAAAAACGTATATGGCATCACACTGGGTGAAAGAAAACCCAGTTGGGACTCTGGGGGTTTTATGCTCTGCCCCAATTTAAATATTTCACAAGATTGTCTAGCGTAGCAAGATGACGAAACTGCTTTGCAAAAATATTTATGCTGGGGATTCATGGGAGGGTATTTATATATTTAAAAAAATGATGGAAAGAAAATAAAACTGTCACACTGGGCTACTTCTCTGTGGACTACTTTGTTCTGCTCAGTTCTGGACTTCAGATAGAGAAAAGAGGATAGTCTTTCTTTTGTAGTAACCAGTTTGTTAATCAGCATGTTCCCATTCCAGTCCTTATGTTCCTGATGGCTATTGTTACCTTCTTCAACGCTTGAGAATTTAGTAACATCCAGGATAGAGTGAAACACTCAGACAGTACTGCTAAACCCCCATTGAGCTCAATGGATTTGTTACTTGCGCTCTCAATGGGATTGCAGAACACTCAAAAAGTGTTCTTGAGTTTGAAACCTTGAGTTTTCAGTGCTCTCTCAGGGATTGTTGACAAATTCTAAAAGATGTTTATGGATTCTGCTTTTCATATTACTATGTATATCAGGCTGTTGCTCCAACACACATGTATTATTAGTATTACATAAGAATATCCAGTCACCAGTATTAATAGCAATTTTTGAGAAGGCATATGCAAATTTTAGATCATTTAGAAGATGGAGGCAGCTTGTTTTTTGCTGGACTTGAGTAAATCCAAATAGCAAGAGATCCCACCTAAACATTGCTGTTGGTTAGGCTTGTTGAGCAGTAGAATAGATTCCCCATTTTTGGAGGTCTTTAAACAGAGGTTGGATGACTGTGAGGATGGAGTAGCAGTGGATTCCTGCATGGCAAGCAACTTTGCAATAATGGCCCAACTTTGCAATAATATGATTCTATAAGTCTTGTCTGTATATAGGGCTTGGACAAATTATTTATTTGGACTGCAACTCCCAGAATTCTACAATGGTCATGTTGGCTTGGGGACTCTGAGAACTGTAATCCAAAACGTAACTTTTCCAAGCTCTACAGCCAGAATTCTGATTTCAGCAAGGGACATTCCTTTCTCAAACAGAGAAAGTAAGCACAGAGAGGGATACCTCTTTTACTCTCATGTTTCAGGATTATAAAGAACCAACTTGAGAACAGAAATGTTGCAGCGAGTGTTGGGAACTGCCCAGAAATGGTCCGGTACAACAAAAACGTCATTTCGATGTTTTAAAGTCCCAGAAATTAGAGCAATAAATACTGAAACCCCCGACACATTTGCCTCATCAGGAACTCAGAGGTGGTTAAAAGATGTGTATCTAACTCCCCCATATCAGAAACGTGTGGCTTTCCAGATGTTGTTGGGTGGCAGTTTCCATCATTTCTCCACATTGGCTATGCTTGCCACAGCTGATGGGAGATGTAGTCCAAAGGCATCCAATGGGCTGCACATTCCCCACCCCTGCCTTAGCCTGACCAAGTAAGGGCAGATTGCAGGTTCTTTAAGGCCATAAGGGCAAAAGAGGGTGTCCCCCCCAAACACACACCTTCCATTACTTGAATTCCAGAACTAAACAAGGTATCATCTATTTCTCTGCAGGATAAAGCGCAGGGTATTTTTTTTTAAATTCACAGCAGAACTGATTGTTGGAGGCTTCAAGGGAAAGAGGCTTAAGGCGAGACCCTTGGGAGCCAAAGGTGTGTGAAAGGGTTAGATGTCTGGAGCTGAGCAGGTGAGATATTTTGGGTCTATTTATCAGAGGAGCTACAGTGCAGCTTGACTGAAAGTCAGAGTGGACGATGGTCCTCAGTCGTGTGTTTTCTAGTAGTGTACTTCAGTTATTTAAAACATTTTTACCCACCATCCCTCCCTCTTCGACTGTAAAAGGCTGTAAAGAATGGTTTGAAAAGATTAATAACACTGTCCCTGCCCTCAGGCTTACAATCTAAAGGACACCACACAAAAGGAAAATGGATTGGAGAAGGAAGGGTGGGAGAGCAAGCTCAGACCTATGCTACAAAGCTGTTCTGAAAGTCTGCTTCTTTTTGGCAAGGAATAGCTAAGCAAGGTATGGGGAGAGCGGTTTCCTTCATCCCTTGGCATTCTTCTTCCTGAGGAGGCATGGTGTGCAGGCTTTCAGCGGCCCCAAATCCTCTGGTCAAAGGATGAGGCCACAGCAATGTGATAAGTAGCCACAGTGGAATTATGGCTCAGAAGATCAAACTGATGATGCTTCCTGCTTCTCCTGACAAAGTTAATCATTGCACATTTTCATATTTGCCTGCTCAGCATGGCACAAGCACATCTCTCTGCCTTGAAGGAGTGTGCGGGCAGGAAAGAAACACACAAAGAAAACCTCTGGAGGAAATCTTCTTGACTGGAGATCTCACCAGGCACCAGACTTGAGGTCAGAGATTCACAAGATTCATGTGGGAGGAAAGCGGCTTCTGCAATCGGGGCTGTGTGTTTCTCTCCTAGTTATGAAAACGTTCCACCGAGAAAATAATGGGAGGCAGACACAAAATTTGGTGTTGCAAATCCAGTCCACACATCTCCCCTAACTTTTAAGCTCTGATGAATTTTGGAAGTATCAGAGTGAGGAAATTCACATACCCTACAGATGTCTGGGACAGGTACAGATAAGAGGGAGGGCAGCCAAGTGGAAAAGTAAATGGGGATCACAAACGCCGAGTGGGAAATTTCAACCTTTGATCATCCTTATCAACCTCCTGCCTTAAACAGTCACCATGTAGTGATAAGCAGAGCTGTCACTTCAATAAACATGCAGCCAGACCTGAAGTATAAAATGGAGACAAGTCGCTTCTTGTAGTCTCAAGATGAGACAGGAGGGTCTTCTTGGAATAACCTTCCAAAAGGTATTGCCTCAGTGCACCAAGAATGCACTTAGCAACAGCTCTAATTCACCACCATTTGAGTAACAGTAGTCTCTCAAATCTTTTTTTTTGGGGGGGGGGAGAAATCCCATTCTAAATTCATCTCGAAAGCTGACCTCACCACTTGCAGCTATGGAACCCTCAGGCCTGGACTCAGTAAACTGAGTGCATTGCTTGCAAATTTACAGCAGGTACAGAATTTTTTTAAAAATAATGTGTGCAGCCTTCTTCTGCACATATGAAGAAGATCTGTGGCCCGAGGCATGGACAGAGCAAAAGCATTCAAGGATGCCAGGGCATCTGAGGTTCTTTCTTAAACTTCACAGTCAGCTAGGGAATGAAGCAGGAGGAACAAAAAACTTGAAATACCACCCCCACCTTCTTTGCCTCTTTGGAAACTTCTCTGTTCAGCAGAGTATTTGCAAGCCATGCTCTCAGGCACAGTGCCTCTTTCTCCACCAGCCACTTCCTTCTTCCTGGAAGCGCAGTCCTCTTCCCAAATGTTTTGCAACTCAGAAGAGAAGAGGATCTAGTCTGAAGACTATTGATTCAACTGATAACTACTTCGTGGCGAAGTGATCCCCAGCCGCTTTATCACTTGATGATGTCTGTCTCAGCTCAGATGCTTTGCCCTCTCTTGCGTGGGGCACACAGAGAACAATGTAATCTCTCTCTATATTCACAAGGACACAGTGTGCTGCCGAGGTGGATATCCCTCTTTTCTCAACCAGCAGACTGCTGAAGAATATCAATAGCCAGAGGAAAGGTGCAGTGAGGACCGGGAAGTGAGAGATTCCAATAAACAGGGAGCTCTTGGTGCCTGCCGGCACATCCCTCTTCTCACATCAGGCAGATTTCTGAGTCACACGCGCACATAACAACCACGTTCTCCCTTGCTCACAGGTCTCCAGAAGTCTCATGACAACGTGTGTGAGAGGAAGCGAGCCACGTGCTGCATGAATAAGTCATAAAGAGTTTAGGCTTCACAAAGTGCTTGGGGATTTGTGTTTTTTATTTATTTATATGCCCGGCGTACACTAAAAATCTTGCCAGCCCAGAGTGAATATCAGCCAGTGAAAGCAGGGAGAAAGGAAGACTAAGCAGAGAGCAAGGCAGACATTTTCACAAGGTCTGCTGCAAGAAGGGGTTCTTTTCAGTGTGGGGCAGGAGGGCATGCCAGGGACTTCCACGGTGCTGAGTTTTACCAGCATGAACCCTGGAAATCGTTGACCTGATCTGACTCCCTTTTATTTTAGCATTCTTGGCAGTCTGTCCAGAGGGTCCTAGG